CACATCTTCAGTCTTTCTTAATTGTAATGCTAAGGCCTGTAGATTATAAGATGGAGCTTTGCCACTTTCTTTCCTGTCCTCTCATTGAAAAATTGACACGTGAAAAATATTTCTTTCTGTACTTTGACCCTCCTTCTATTAATTTGCAGCATCAATTGTTTTTCTACAGTCATCGTATTTTCTTGGAATGTGTTTATGCTTCAGAACAACAAACTTCCAGAAATCCTGTTAGTTAATCTAGTTTCCTGATCAGCAACACCAGGCTGCTACTTTCTCTTTTACCTGTATATTCAGTAAAACTGTTACTAAATCATAAATACATAAGTATGGTTAGGTTATTTACAAAATTTATTAGAATTAACTTTTTCTTTATAAAGTTTGTAAAACATTTTAGATTTTCAGACCAACTTTTCTGCAGCACTCGTTACTCATCGTTGTCTTCAGGCCTTTGCTGTCGCTCTTTCAAACGGGGGTCAGGCCCAGGGAACCGTGAAGCCTCGGTTTGTGTTTGGTTAGTAGTGCAGACTGCTATCTGAAAAGCTTAACTTTGAATGAATTAAACTATGCAGGAGGCAGCAAAGACAGGAAGTGGGTGCATGTTTCAGCATTGTCATGAACTTGTATGTGTGTCTGGTGAAGCAGTTGGGCTTAAGTCTTTGTCTCCCGTTATAAACAAACATGTGCTTTCATTTAAGCTCCTCCACCTTTCAACCCCCAACGTCTGTCCTCTGGTCCCAAATCACCGCTTCTCCTGCAGCCGCCCTGCCACAGTCTGACCCGCTTGTACCTGCACATTGAGACACTCACATGAATCAGATGGACTTTCTGTCAGTGTATTGAGTGAACAAGTTTGTGGCTTAAAATTACCTCAGTAACACGTTTTGAAGTGTGTTTGTACATTCAAAAGGAGACACGCTTTTCTCTGTTTGCCCTCACTCTTCATGGTCCTTTCTGTGTGTATACACTCCCTTTGACGGCAAGTCTTCCTGAAACATTAGCCATGCTTGGTTACAAGTGAAAAGCACGCTGGTGGAATCACGTGGATTCCTCGATTTATGGGAATTGGACAATGCTGAACCTCATAAATAGAGTAGTTCAGTCTGTTTTTGTTTGATAAAGCAGATTGCACCAAATTTTACTGAATTGTAAGAGTAATAAAGGGTTATTTTATTTTCATATAAAAGCCCACATCAACATCTCTAAACTTTCAAAATGAAAATATGCATCTTACTGAGGAAGATTTGGCACAGGTAACTTAAAGACGGCAAACTGCTGCACCGTTCCTGCAGCTCAAAGGCACAAACAGGTTCTGAATGTAACTATACTGGCATTTTTATAAGGCATGCACCAGATGTGCTGCCTTATAAATCTACCATCCATCTAAAGAAAATATCTGTGAAACGGGCGTGGACAGGGAGAGTGGAAAGAGCGCTGCAAGAATGAAAAGACAGAAGGAAAGGATGAAAGGTTTGGCTTGGCTGGTTCAGTCAAAACACACGAAGTCGCCCCGTTTCAGTCAGGTGTGTTCAAAATATCCCAGCTTTTTCTGTATTTCTGCAGGAAAAGCTGGAAAATCAAAGCACATCCTTTGCCTTTATTATTTTTATTCAAAGGATAATAGCATCTAATCTTTAGCAAATTTACAATCATAGGCTAATCAAGCAAACTTTGCGCAGCTCTTCTTGGTCACTTTGCTCTCGGTCTGAAAAACAAAAATTGATTCTTCAACTTTTATCTTTCTTTTGAACATATCATTATATGTTAACAAAGGTTAACAAAGGATTACCTGTCGTTCTCCACTGATGTTTGCATAGATCAGTATCATAAATAAAATGTCTATTAAGTTTCAACTGGAACGTGTAACAAAATCCACTCCCATGGATTTTCCTTCCCTCTTTTCTAAGAGCACAGGCATGACTAAGCTCGCCCGATTGTATCAGTTATTCTTCTGATTGTTATCTGGAGATTTAACCTTGTCTAAGAATGAGAAACGAATAATGAAGACTAAAAGACATGTAGGGACAGCTATTTGTTTTTGAAGAAATTCTGTCTCAGTTTCGGATATACTCTCAGGAAATTGAAAGATTAAAGAGGATAAAGAAAAAGTGCACATGAGGATAGCAGTCAGAAACAGAAATCTTAAAAGTTGAATATTGTCAAAATGTTTTGTTAGAGGAGAAAAGGAGATAACTGGAGGGGAAGGGTTTGGCACAAACTAGTAATAGTAACATCAAATTTCCTGCCAATTCTACATTTTTGGTGGATCTTTTCATTTTAAAACAAAAGTTGATTTCAGAATTTAATTTATTCAAAGAATCTTCACACTCCTAAATTGTTAGGCCAAACCAAAGAACTAATAAAAACATTGAGGCCTTAATGTGGTCGTCATGCAGTCAGCAGCGTAAGAACAAGAATCTAAAGATAACAAGCAGGATCCAGTCTGACCTGTTTGCTTCTATTTTGGTCGTCATTTCTTTATTGTTTCTTTTCTTCTAAACTGCCTCTCAAAAGTAATTCACAGGTAGCTTTTGTGTTAAGAACTTAGTTAGATTAAAACCACAAAATTAAATGTATTTTAGTAGAATTATATGTAATACCACAAAGAAAATAAAAGCCTGTGCTTAACAAATGAAGGACTGTTTTGAAACAATTTAACATAAAAAAATGTGAATTCTCAGTCCTTCATTTTGATACAAAAAATACTATTCAGTGTAGGCTTTAGGTTCTGTTTGATCATTACTAATGGTCCATTAGTGAACAAACGGCAAAATGAAGACCTAGAAACACAGACAGTTTAAACATCATTTTTCAACCTACTGTCTTAAAACAGAAACTGAGTGGCTCACCTAATCTGATTGCTGCAGAGATCCACAGCTCAGGCGGCATGCACAATGCAACAATCCAGGTGATGATGGGATAAGTATTAGTTTTAAACTCCACTCTGGATTTTGTGGAAAAATGGCAAGAAGAAAATGATTGTTGAGATAAGCCATAATGGCTGGTTGCAGCTTGTAACAACCAAGCAGGAGAAAAAGAAAGTGCTTTGGTGAAATGAGACCAAAATAAACCGTTTCACTCTACACCCAAACGCTAAGTCTGAGGTAAACATAATCCTGCATCATTCTGCACACATCAGTCACTCGGGGTAACATGGTGGTGCCAGCATCACACTGCAGGAACACGGAAGCTGATCAGAGTTGATACGAAATTATCATCCTGGAATAACCTGTTGGTTTCTGCAAAACACTTAATACAGACAGAGGTATGTTTTTCCACAGGACAATGACCGCTTAGATCTACACTGGGATTCCAGTGTGGAATGGCCCAGTCAAAGTTCACACCTAAATCCATGTTGGAATCTTTGGAAGGATTTGAAGTGCACCCTTCAGAGGTTCTCCATCCATCCTGACTCAGCTTGAGCTTTATTGCAAAGCAGAACAGGCAAAAATGTCTCCAGATGTATGAAACTGTTGGAGGCAAACCCTAAAGGACTTACAGATGGAGCCCAACTGGTTTCACCTAAATGCAAATTCACAACACAAATTTCAAATACTATAAAAGGAAAAAAAAACACTATCTTGTGTTGGTCTGTCACATAAAATAATACAATTCTTGATGTTTATGATGAAAAATGGAGAAAACTATATTGTAGTTGCTGTATCTCTGAATACAAACTCTTTTCACTAATATTTTAATCAAAGCCTTTTTGTTCAAACTTGCCTGTGTGGTTGAATTTTTAAGGAGCGTTTGTGGTTTTCATATTCTTTAATAGCGTGGGACTTATGGAGGACCGAAACTGACATAATACAAAAATAAAACCAATATTTTATTGCTTAATATTATATTTTTATTATGTCAATTTTGGTCCTCCATAGCTTGAGCTTTATTGCAAGCTATAGGTAATAAAAGATAAAAGCATAAATACATATTTATGCTTTTATTGTTTTTATTTTCCCTCTGGAGTTTTGGTCATCCATAGGGACTGGACAATGGTGGGAAATTTCAAAGCTAAGGCTTGCTGCTGTAGAGGGAAATCCTACTACACTTTGAAAAGCTTTGATTGCACAATTACCATAGACCTGTGTGTGTGTGTGTGTGTGTGTGTGTGTGTGTGTGTGTGTGTGTGTGTGTGTGTGTGTGTGTGTGTGTGTGTGTGTGTGTGTGTGTGTGTGTGTGTGTGTGTGTGTGTGTGTGTGGTCCAGGGGAAAGCTGAGAACAGGAGGACATCCAGCAGATCCATCTGTTGAAATAACAGGCTCTGACTGCAGAGGCGCTGAACCTGCAACACCTGCGGCTGAGGCTCTTTAAACCAGCCCAGAACACACACATGCTCTCACACACACCCATTCCACTGGCTCAGAATGACAGAAATCTGTTTTTCAAGCTGATGCATGGTCAAACTTGTAAACAAGTTTCTCCATCTCAGCTAAAATGTTTAAAAACTCTGAAGCTGTGATAATGTGCAGCCTTGTTCAGTCAGTAAAGCTGCTGGCTATCTCAGAAATTCAAAGGCCTGAAGCGGTATCAGAAGTGGTGACATAAGCGCGAGTGTTGCAGTAAAACCTTATCTGGAAAATTCTGTCTGTGAGACATCCGAGCCCGGCTGCAAAGTGAGCATTATCTCTTAAGTGCGCTGATAGCTGCAGTAAACACCGAGCAGCTCGATGATGTCATCATTGCGTTTGTACAAATGCATGAGGAGGGTGTTGACCTCTGCACAAACTGCAAGGATACAGCAGAGTTATGTAGGTGTCGTGGCAAGGCAAGCTAAATGCAAATATAACAGAAAATAGACAAGAAATCATAAAAACTATTTGACTCCTATTGGAAAACAGTTATTAAAAAAGTTGAATCTTTTAACTTTTTTGTCTAAACATTTTCAACTTTCTTTTCCATAAAATTCTGCAAGCATCATCTCCACTATTATGTTTGGTTTTAATCCAGTTTACATTTAAATATTATAGTCATCCCTTTCTTCCTCTTCTTTTTCTCCTTTGCAGAATTTCCGTCCCATCACCAGCAGTTCTGGGAACTACGGCCGTAAACCTTCGTACACCTCTGACCCGCCGTCGCCTCTCCCTCCTCAGCCCACTCACCTGAATAATGGACACACCAGACCCAACAACGGCCACATCTATGGATATGGGAACGGAAGTGGGCATGCTCAGTACAACAACCCAGCCGGGCTTTATGCTCACAATGGCAGCAACGGGGACAGATCCCTGCCAGGCAAGATGGGAGGTCTCAGCCTGAGTGCCACACACAGGTGAGACAATAAACGAGATTTTCAAACGACATAAGTACCGACAATGAACCATAATTTGCAGGATCAATAGCTCTAGTGGATTAACTGTGTGAGGTTGTTTTTGTGATCTAATTTGCACCTTATTTTTGCTGTTTTAATTAGTCTTCTTCTGCCTTTCGGAGCTTTTCTGAAGAGCTACCTTCTAAATAAGCCCTCATTTTAATGTGTTTGTTCCATATAAAACCCAGATTAAAGAAAGAACAAAGAGATCCAGGTTGTTTTCCTGCTGTAACCTGTATGAGTGGAGAACAGTGAACCATGTCCGTGCAAGCTGTTAAGGCTTGTTGGCTTTCAGAATATCTCTCCGTGAGATTTCCCAGATCAGCCTCATTGCACACCACGGCTGTGAGAAAACCACACAAGGAAATAGGAGCCCGTCTCCAGCGACTGGTTCTGAAATCCATCAAGTTAAAACTCCTCAAAGTAGGATTTCATTTACAGCCGGAGCTGCAGTATGTCATACATGGCAGATGTCGGTATGTGTGGATCCTAACAGAGACACATTTGGACATCCTTCGACACACCTGCAAACATTTTTTGTTGCGTGTTCCCAGCGGGTTGCAAACCTGTGTCTCCTGTTCCCTCATCCTCTGACAAACTCCCAGAGTTCCCTGCGACTGGACTGTTAATCCCATCCAGGTCTCCACCCCAAACCGAACGGAAAACCCAATATTTAAAACTATTTTCCATTGACTTCTGTCACGCTGCTTCTCCAACTTCGCTTATTCCTGTCATTTTTCTCCACCACTCAACTTCACTTCAAACAGAGCTGAGCTTTTTTCTGTCATGTGACTTACTGGTGGTGGAAAAGGAGTCTGGAGACAAACGTCCCATTAAGTGTGTCCAGTCTCCACACATCTGTCAGCAGCTCAGCTCGTCATCTTCCTAAAGCTTGAAGCAAGCATAGGCGTGGCATGGAGCGGCTGATAATCCCAGGCTAATCCCAGCATAAGGAATCACATCTAGAGTAAAGGAACCTCTGGTTCTGGTGCATCCATTCTGATTTTACAAAAACGTTTTTCCACTCTTGCATTGGTGATTCCCAACATCCCCCCACCCTTTTATATTCTTAGTTTTTTCTCAGGTCATTGTTGTATATTGAACCTAAATCCAGTGTTAAAGATATTTTTTCATACCTGATTATGTAGAACATAAATGTGGCTGGTGACCACATGTCAGTTTGTTCTGCTGTTGACATTTCCAACCCTGAGACTGTGACCCAAACAAGGGTCAAAACTTCAATTAATAGAAAAGGTTATAATATACAATCTTATGAAAAAGAGATCAATCAATTTAGTTATTGATGATTGTTTGTCAATCACCTTATTTTACCAAAACATTTTTCTTTGTAGAAAAAGCCCAATAAGTTAAGTTTCCAGGAAATTATTTAAATGTCAAAAAATATTATTCCTGACTGATGCAATTACAGAATTATATATTTAAATATTGCCTCCAAATGCAATTTGAATGTAAGAGACAGTAAACATTAAACTCTGCTGCTGTTTCTCTGTGACGGAAGTAGTAAGCATGTGCATCTACTTTTTATCTGATTGTAACAAAATTCAAAATACATTTTACCATACAGCATTCTGTTTCTTGATGCATTTACAGTCTCCGTGCAGTTTTGGTGCATTTAAGTCGATAAAGATGAACGTTTTTCAGCATTTGACCACCTGGCTGATTGATTGGTGCATCACTAACCAATAACATCTGCACATGTTTGATGTAACTGCAGGTTGTGCAGTGAGTCACAGTGTGTGACTCAAGTTGACCAAGGATAGTGCAGTCATTTAATGTGGGATCTACTCTTTAAGTAAATTGTTTCTTTATTAGCTGTGTTTTGTTCATATAAAAATAATGCTGCATAATCAGAGTTTGTGTGTGTGGGTAAATCGGAATCTGTAGAGATTTATTCTTTTCACCCTCATCCGTTGCTAAACACATGCTGTTCTTCACCCTTCTTCACTGCTAATCGTCATCTGTTGGCTGCCTTGCAAAACCTTTTACTGAGTCATGCTTCTTATGTGGTTTTCAGTCCAGAGCCTCCTCAGTCCCCAGTGAGCCGTAATGGTTTCGACCCCCAGTCAGATGTCTACAAGATGCTTCAGGACTATGAAGAGCCAGTCTCTGCACCCAAACAGTCTGGATCCTTCAAATACCTCCAGGAGATCCTGGACGCTGAGGACGGAGGTACCGGCTCATGTGTTTGTGTCTGATATTAAAGCAACAAATGGAATCGGTCCAAACCTTTGCAGAAATATCAGCATAATCCAAATATTTAGAAAGTCTTCTGATTGTTGAATAGTGGAATTGTAGGTTGAGGAATACAGTTATGCTCCATTAAAGTGTTTTTCTCTCTGCAAAAGTGTGAGGAAGTGGTTCAGAATAGAATAGAATAGCATTTATTGTCATTGAACAGGATTCAACGAAATTTCTATTGCAACTCCCGTGCAAAAAGTCAAATATATACAATATTAAATAAATAAACACACAATAATAATAATAATAATAATATATACAACTAAAATTAACTAAAGGCACTCAACCACACCAAAGAAGAAGCAGCAGGTCCAATTATGGTAAAGTGCAGATGATGTGACAGTGCAAGTGCAGAACCATATGGCTGTGTGGGGGTGGGGGTGTATGTGAGGTTATGATATGTGTGGGAGGGGGCGGCAGGGAGTAATGGCTCTGACGGCTGTGGGGAAGAAACAGTTTCTCAGTCTGTTTGTTGTAGTCCGTATATTCCTGTACCGCTTGCCTGATGGCAGCGGCACAAACAGTCTGTGGCCCGGGTGGCTGGAATCCATGGCTATGGATCCAGCTCTCTTCTTGACGCGGCCCATGTAAATAGAGTCCAGGTCTGGGAGGGGGCATCCCACAATGCCTTGTGCTGTTCTCACCACCCGTGTCAGTTGTTTCCTCTCCAGTGCTGTGCAGCTACCATACCACACAGTCACGTTGAGGCAGAGGACGCTCTCGATCGTCGCCCTGTAAAAGTTCACGAGCAGCCGTGAAGAAAGTCCAGCCGTCTCAGTTTCCTGAGGAAGAAGAGCCTTTGTTGTGCTTTCTTCACCAGGTGGGAGGTGTTGTATTCCAGGAGAGGTCAGACGTGATGTGGAGGCCCAGGAACTTGATGTTGTCCACACGCTCCACCTCTTCTCCATCTATGAGAAGGGGAGTGTGACCCGTCCTCCTGGACCTTCTGTAGTCCACAATGACCTCCTTGGAATGACAAAGAGAATTTTAGAAAGTTGTAGATTTTAATTTGTGGCTTTGTTGAACTTAAAAAAAATACATGTAACATTACCACCAGCTGCCACAATACAGTTAAGTTTACTTCAAAGCAGGCATGGAATAAGCATTCAGTTCTGCTCACAGACATCAGTGCATTTCTTCTAAACAGTCACAGAAACACAAGGCGTTTGGGAATAAATAGTTCCTACTTTGCAGATGTGGCTCGTGATTCTCGGTCAGGCAACCTCTGACTGTTTGAAGCTCCTCTATCTAGTGGCATAGTTTTCCTTTTATAGAAAAACACTGACAACCAAGTTAAAAGACAGATAGGAAGGGGGAGAGACATGAGGATAACCCAAAGAAAAGCAAAGAAAAAGGAAAGAGAAAGTCTAAGAGCTTTAAAATAGATCTTGAATAGAAGAAAATCCGGGAGAGGGAAGTTTTGGTAAAGCAATTTAGAGCAAAAACAACTTCAGTAGACAATAAAAGTGAGAAATACGGCTTTCCTGTCCGACTGCTTGGCATTCCTTGATGTGAGGAGGAGTCATGTGACGCTGACAGCAGCAGAAGCAAGTTAATCCCTGGAACTAAAACCTTCTCTTCATGCTCCATGTTTATCTCTGAAGCTGCACAAAAGCTTAGGGAGTGGGAGAGGTAATTATAAGTTAGTGAGTATTTATACACCAATAACAAAAGATATTCATCATTAATGATTCTCTTAGAATCTAACGTAAAAAGACTCTTCATAATAGTGATTGCACTGAGTGGAGTTTACAACTTTTAACTGCATCAGTAAACTTGTCAACCACTTTTTATATTTTCTAGTATAAAATATTATAAAACCTTTTGATTTTGTTCTCAAGATGAGAATCTAAATCATACCCTGAACTCAAGACTATTTTTGGTTTTGAGTAGGATTTTTGCTTTTGCTGTAAGTTAAATAGTTTCAACCCAAAATTGCATTTATTGAAGTTGCAGCTTGCAACACAAAAGTCTTTTGCTAATTAAAAATACAAACAGAAGAAAAGTATTTGTAAATGTAAGTAAAGTGAACATTCAAAACGATGTAAAAGAGCAGAAAACGTTTATGGTACAGATTTCATTCTCAAGATGAACATCAGCACGTTGCTTGTCTTTCCCATTTTGGGGAGTGGAGAAGTGAACGGTTCTCCTTCTCACATTGTTAATATTTAGCAGGGAAACAGGACATCATGGATTATAGTTACTGGTTCCTCCACATTCTGGTCAACGGCCACTTTTTGTTGAACCAGGTGATATAATGAATGTTTACTGATAATGAAAGATAATGACGTATTCTTCAAGACATGAGGTGATTGTGACAGAGAAGTGGTTACTGAACAGGAAGGACTATTTAACTGAAGAGAACAAACTGCAAGGAGAAACATGGAAAACAAGGATCAGTGGATCAGTGGAACTATAGCTGAATTCAAGAAAGAAATACTTTAGAAAATGAGACAAAACTAAACCAAAACGCTCATGACTTAAAAATGAAAGTAAAAATTACAAACATGCTTCACTTACATTTATTTGAGATACTTTTGAAGAGTACATTTTTAAAAAATATTTTCTATTCTAATTCAAAAACATTTTTTTGTTCAGTCTTTTTCTCACAGTCTTTTTTTTTTTCTTCTGCATTAGATACTGTCACAACATTTCAGGCTGTAGCTTTGAAGTGAGAGTTGACAGAATAATTCAAAGCACCAGAAACAAAGTAAAGTGCTCCCACAGTGAGGCCCGGGGCAAAGCCAAACCGCACAGCTTCTCTAATTTATCACCTTCATAACACTTAGTGGAGCACAAAAAGCAAGAGCTGAAGAAGGAGACAAACGCTAACGACAGATGAAAGCGTCTGGAGGCAGAGAGAATCGAACACCACTGATGAACTTTACAGATTAAAAGCCGCCTCTCTTGTCTGCTGTCGGTTGTCTTTCTGTTGGGGGAATGAAGGGATGATTGACACTTAAAGCTCTTGTTGAAAAAGAAAGATGCTTCAAGTTTATACAGAGACCCTTTTAAAAGCCCTATGTCTCTTTGTGACTTCTGTGCCTTTAAATCTGAAATCTAACCACAGATGTTTCATGTCTGTTGTTTTTTTTTTTGTTTTTTTTTAAAAAGGTTCCTCATCAAGAAACAAACTGTTGACATGTGACTCCAGTTGAACAGTGCCTTACTTTATTATTGAGCTCTTAAATCTCTTCAGCTGGTTGCCGTCTGAAGCGTTCGCTCCTGCAGAGGTCATGTTGCAGAGGTCATGTTGTGTTTAAGGGGCTTTTAGAGGTAAAACAAACAGTGACAGTTGACCAGAAATCCTACAGGCTCTGGCCTGGTTTACTGGAAATAATAGTCGAGTTGCTGTTATAATTCATATTCTGTGTCGTTAAAGACAACATGGAATTTTTGAACAGATATATTCATAAATGCATCTGTTGTCTTACTGTGGTTGAAAGGTGACTGGGATTGTTTACGTGAGTTAAATAAGCTTTCATTCCAACGTCTTTATTTGGGCTACATTTGGATATAAAAAGTCTGATATTTTGCAAAATATTTGGTTGACTTAACCAAAGTATTGGACGTACTGTGCAACATAAGTGTTAGAGAAAGTGAGGTTTGTGTTGCAAGCAGAGTAAATCAGATGGTGTCGTTCTGTGAATCAGGCTACTGTATGCGGTTCCACCATCTGAACAGAAAACTTGAGCAAGACTAAACAAGCCCTCACTAATTGCACTTGCGTGTGTGTGCGTGTGCGTGTGTGTGTGTGTGCGTGTGTGTGTGTGTGTGCGTGTGTGTGTGTGTGTGTTGTGGGAGAAACCTTTATTAGTTAGCCTAATTAGCAGAAAGTCACTCCAGAGATGTGCAGCACATTAATGTTTTTTTCCATTAAAGCCACATTTAAGAGTGAACGTCGGTGAACACAGCATCGTTCAGTCACGTCTGCAGTTGCTGAGGAATAAAAGGTGCATAACGCCCAGTTCCAGATGAAAGCTGATTAAACTGTGTTCATCATACCAGCCCGGCTGGCTTGAATATCCTCTCCTCTCCTGACACATCATCAGTGATGTTGATCAGTCATACTATGAACTCTTCTGATCTGCTTTACTGCACTTTAAACAACCAAAGTAGCTCAGACATCCAGGGTAAAGCACGACACATTCATACCCACTAAGCAGGCGTAACTAAACACCTGATGATCTAAGCTGACAGCTCTTCATAAAACTCACCATCTGTGGGAACTCATCTGCACTCACCATGATTATCACCCCTATCGCTTATGCATCATTACTTTAACAGATTGTAACAAGATTTGGATTTGAAGTCAATAAAAATGTGAAGAAGCTGACTCCGACTGTTCCTTCCGTTAATTGTAATCACAGCTCATGTGATTGTTGCATAACGGTATGATGATTAAATTGTGGATTTTGCGGCGTTGGATGTTTTCCCTTTATCAGTCGGCTTTGACTGGTGAATTCTGAGCAGGAAATGCTGCTGCAGAAACATGAACAGAGAACACAGTCTGGGAGAAGACAAAACGTAGTCAGAGGAAGAAAAGGGAAATTCAAGACAGTGATGCAAGTTGATGACGAAAGCAGAGAACAAGGAATGTTTATTTATTTCAACACTTTTCTTTTATTGTGCTGCGAAAAGGAGTGCAGTGCTCTGCCTACGCTTGCAGTGGCGACGCATCATTCTGGTCTCATGTTTCAACTTGCCAAGGATCAAAACCAGTCTGCATTCACTGGCTTTACATTTTTAGAAAAGGAAATGTAAGGCTTTATAGTTTAACGATCCAGGTTAAGCTGACGTCATTCATTTTCAAGTAGTTTGAATAAAAAAGTTTAACCTATTCCTAAACCTTAACTCTTTATTTTTGTGCGTGAAAGATCCACTTTCACCACTCTTCCACTAAACCAAACAACTCATAAATATTACTCTTTCTAAAAGCTCTCTTATAAATGTTTTTCAAATGTTTCCAGCATCGGCTCTTATTAGGAGGATTTCTCTGTCTGTTAGTCATTTTGCAACAATATAAGCTCCATAAAGAACAAAAACATGTCACCAAAAAACAAATTAACTCATCAGTGATTTGTAATTTTTGACAATTCCAGTTTGTGATGTTCATTATGGGATATTCACAACAATAAACTCCATCAGATAATAAGCTGATATTGTTCAGTTTAGTCAGTAGCATGTAAGTAGAAATTAGAAATCATTTTAGTTTCATGCATTTATCACATATCTTGCATAAATTGCAATAGTGATTTATACCAAAGTATAATTTATGAAATCTTAATCTCCTGTCATATTTTATCCGTTTCCAGGTTTCTGTTGCTGCAGATGCAGTCAAGTAAAACACAGAAAAAAATATTCTTCTTGCCAAGTCACACAATATTTGTAGCAACTTGTTATAGAGAAACCTGTATCCTTTCTTACAGTAATTAACTCATTTTCAAATATTATTGTACCTGACAGCATGAGAAATTACTCTAATCTTCCTGCATTACACAGAACTGATAGTCATAATTTTCACATCTTTTGAGAAGTTACAGGAACTTTCTGTCTAGTTGAAACACGCATGGAGAATATTTGAATGAATGTCTGAAAGCCATTCATCTTACTGATAAAATAAACAGAATCAAAATTCTATTTATCATTAAATCACATTAACCAAAGCAAATCCAACCTGTGTGTAAGATGAACATTTAGCAGAGACCTGCAGAGAAAGTGTTGATGTTGGAAAACTGTTCCGTGTTTATGCTATGAGAGTCTTGCTTGTGAGATGTCTGAAAGCTGAATATTTCTGGGTTAAAGTTACATTTATTGTTTATTGTTTTGTTGCCAACAGGTTTGTCACCAACAGAAAGAATGAGAAGCTTAAGATCTCCGGTCAGGTCTCCCATACCGAAGCTGGGCAGCCCGATCCCCAGCCCCATGTCTGGCCTGCAGAAGCTGCCGCAGTGCTCACGCTGCTGTAACGGCATCGTGTAAGAAGTACTTTAAGTTCAATACGCAAAGAAACTGTAATACTTTTTCCAACTCAGCTGAAAACGTGTAACGAATTGCATGGTTTAGATATAAGCTTATGACTGCTGAAATGCTCAAACTGCATCTGGAAATCATATTTTCTGCCTGTTTTGTCACGTCGCCTACGGCCGTAAAGTTTTAAGGCCCACACTGTGCTAGGTGAGTCAAGGTTTTACTCTGGCTGGAATCAGAGAGGTTAACTCACACCATTCGACCTGCGCCAACCGGCCACCATTTCTCAGAAAGCTTATTGTAATGATTAATCAAAGACACGCTCCACACCCAGCATCACATAGCTGCATGGTTAGACATAGGTACACAGATGCATACAGTCTGTTTGCCACAGTAACCACCAGCACCAGTAACCCGCATAAAAGCTGCCACAGGTAGGCAGTGATGTCATGCGCTTTACACCAGCAGGAACACATTGGGGGGCTTGCAGGCAGGAACAGCCTGTTATGACCTCTGAGCATTTTACAGCTTTTTGTATGGAGCTTTGTGACAAGAGGTTTTACAGTCAAGCATGAGTGGTTTCATTGTGGCTAAAAAAGAAGCAGGATTTTGATTTAATGTGCTGAACTAAAACATTAAGCTGCTGCCACAGTCCTTCTCATTTTGGCATTTCTGAATGCATGTTTAATGTTCATCTAAAAGTAAGGGGATTATTTTGTGAAAAATTAGGTCTTGTCATTTTTATAAAGTTCTTGTCATGTGCTGCATGTGATTTGGCCACATTCTGTATGTCGCTGTGCTTTGAAGGGTCGCTGTGACGGCACCATGTGCTTTAATCCAGATTGCCTCACCATCTTCTCTGTCTAAACATTTATGGTCTGCGAGGATGAATCTCAATAAATTACACTACCATGGCAACATATTAAACTTTCTGCTGCACTTTTTTCTGCTACTGAAGTTTTTATTGATAGACTTGGATAGAGCAATCCATGAACAGCTTTATTCATTAGCAATGGTTTATTGTCACAGTGGATGATAATAATGACGTTAAAGTCTCTCTGCATTCTTTCACATGACTGGGTGGGTCATCCCACAGTCTTTCTGTATTAACGTCATTTTATGGTCTTTGTCTTATAAAAATCCAAATTCTCTGAAAAACTGATTTGCATTAGTTATAGGCCATAACATTTTTTATAGAATAACTCTAAAAACATATAGCAGAAGCATACAGGATTTTCCCTTTTTAACTGAATTACTGAAACTTGGTGGTATTCTAATTCACTGATATGCATTGGTGCATATTAATAAATGTGCAGTAGTTAAATTAATCAGAAAATTAGTTGGACGTCTTACATGTTGCAGATCTGTCAAGCATGTGGCGTCGTGTCGGAGTGAAGGAATCTTCATGAGTGCAGATAGTGTGTCTGCAGAAGTTAGCATGAGTTAGTAACATTGATATTGAGACAGGATTTTTCAATTGATCCTTAAAATCTGAAGTCTGTTATTTTCTACTTAGATCTATGAAAGTTCTAAGTGAAATAACTTGTTTGTACAGAAGTAATAGAACTTGTTTTTAAAGTTCTGTGACTTTAAAAAGAAAACTCTGTTCTTGTGTGGTAGCCTACCACAGAACATCTCGGTCTGTAAATAGTGTCACTAGAGTTTCACTCAGAGCAGCAATAAACTATTTGGGCAGCCAGTATCGTCGTTAATAGTTTGCCACCAGAATCTGTTTTGCTGCATTCCATGTGAGCTGTGAAGTTGGATTTCCTGTTGCATGTCTTATAAACAAGTTTCATTAAAGATTAAATGCATAAAAAGCACAGAAACCCATATTAATGAGCTTCTCTGCCTAATAAGAGTCAGTCCCTTTGTTAAACACAACAATTAGCAAATTTATCTGTTTTCAACTTGCAGCCTGATGAAGTTGGTTTTCATTTCAACCTTGACTTTCAAGGCAAATAGAGCCAGTTTCCAGGCGTGACAGCTCTGATCCTTCTGCTCATGAACACACTCATAACTTGTCCTTTGATACTTGATAACATGTGGGACACATATATTCAAATCAGCAAAGGGCTATAAATGACTGTATGAGAAGATAATGTCTGATTTGCATAGATATTGTTTAAATAAACAACTCTGTCACTGGACGGTTCATCGTAACTCATTACCTTTTAAAGTGTTAATACCTCGTTGCTGCGATGATGTCATCTTTCTAAAGCAACTCAAACTTTTTGAAAACTGTTTTGTTTGCATATGAATTGCAGCACTCCACAATTATGACTGCATTTAAAAACAACAACCCTGTAATACTTTGAAATAAAAGATGTAGATGTGGCACAATGAGGTTCAAGGTGCGTAAAGTCTGAAATGAATTTATATTGTGCTTATGTAATTATCAAAGCAGCAGCACACACCCATAGACACTGAGGCTCTCCAAAGCTACACACACACCCTTGAAAGATGAACTATGATAAATCATTTTGAAACTGTTTCCACATATGACATCACATTTAAATCCTGTGCAATTCAACGGAAAAACAAACACATCTGTCTAAAAACAACCTGGTTACCTCAGAGTGCACACCTTTCAATGAATGCTTTGTCTAAGCATCTTGTGATGGATTTTAATATTCTGTCCTGTTCAGTAAAATTCTGTCAGCATTTTTCACTCTGAGTAATTAGATGAGTCTCCATTTGATTCCAAAACATAATTTTCCCTCTTATGAAGTTAGAATTATGTGTATTTCTGTGCATGTTTGGACTCAGTGATGCTGCAAATGAAATCTCTCTTTATCTTCAGCTTTCTAGCAGAGGCTTAAAGGTTGCAGGTAAAAACTGACTGTAATCCAAAGCTTACATCCACCTTAAGGAAAAGTAATATGAAAGCATGATGCTTCCCCCGCCGTGCTTGGCAGTGAGGATGGTGTTCATGATGATGTTTCATTACACCATAAAAAATACTTTGTCAAGATTTCATGCCTTTTTCCTGACTGGTACTGTTTTGCAGTTGAATTTGCATTGAAATGAAAATGCTCTTAACATTTTTTACATTTTTGCGCAGTGGCACCATTGTAAAGGCCCGGGATAAACTCTACCACCCAGACTGCTTCATGTGTGACGACTGCGGCATCAACCTGAAGCAGAGAGGCTACTTCTTTATCGAGGACAGTCTGTACTGCGAGACCCACGCCAAGGCTCGCGTCCAGCCGCCTGAGGGCTACGACGTGGTCGCCGTGTATCCAAACTCCAAGGTGGAGCTGGTCTAAGAGGAGGAGACTGGCTTCATCTGTCGTAGAAATGGGAAACCAAAATCTAGTGGCGTGAGGAGCTGAGTGTGGTAGCCAGCTGTGATCAGGCTCTGTCGTCTGACTGCTGATGTTGGATCAGTTTGCCTCCCTTGGTGTGAAATTTTCATGATCCCAGATCAGTACTCTCACTCTGACAGGTTTGATAAATGCGGTGCATATTGAGCATATTGAAATTTGTAAGTTGAGGCCTGGAACCGAAGAATCTTCAAAAACCATTCATTTGGACACTTCATCATTCATCATTCATTGAATCATGTTTTAACCTTCCAAGAAAACCAAATCACTTGCTCTCATGAACTGTGTTCACATGCTTTCAGATCACAGACAGTAGTCTAATATTTAATGTCATTTATGAAACTCACAATGCACATTTAAAAGATGAGACAAAAACTAAAACTGATTTCAAGAAATACTTCTGTTTTCTGCTTATAACAATTTTTTGCTTTGCATATCCATGGGGTCTGCAGTGATCTGTGGTTTAAGTTTTGGTTAAAGGGGTTAAAATGTCACTTAACAGTACTACAGCTAAATATTGTTCTTGTTCTGTTTCTAATTTACTGCCAGTTCATTTTTCACTTTTCAATGCTGCAAATAAGACTTTTTTCCCCCTATTAGTGAACATATCAATAACGTTGATCAGAAGCTCAGATTCAGAAGAAATCATTGAAGAAAATAAATCTGTATGCAGAGTGAACTACATTACCCTGCACTTATTTCCACATTAAAATAGACATATTTTTATACAGCTTTCCATAAACATGTCCATCAACTCTATGGTCATTTTGCAGTAGATTTGTTTGTTTGGCAGTCAGGAGAAGAACTGGATCAATAAAGTTAAATACTTTTATCCTGAATAGATCAAAAGTATGCATGCAATATCAAATATGTACATTCATCCCCCCTCATATTTGGCTAGATATCTCTTAATTTGTACTTTACCTACATGTTTTATTGCTATAATCAAACATCCTATTGGGTGTAAAACCTCAGTGAAAAATCTTGGTTCCTGACGCTGAAACCGTCTGTGAAGCTGAGACCATAGAAACGTCTCAACGTCTCAACATGATCTCTAATCAAAACCAGTTTTGATTAGAGATTCAGATTATTATCCAGTTGGAACCTAAATGGGTTTAAAGTTTCTGACAGTTCTCCTTCATTTATCGTTACACCAAATCGGCACAAGTTTTCTTGGCAGAACAGAACCGCCACCCAGCATGATTCTGCCACTACTGTGCCGATCACACTGATCTTATCTTATCAGTGTTTGTCTTTGCCAGAAAATAAAACTTTTCTGCAGAAGATTTTCTGTGTTCAGATTGTGTAGCTTCAACAAAAGAGGAATTTATTTTAAGGCTTTTTAAATGTTTGTATAGTTATTAAATCAGTTTTAAATCGCTGAAGAACAACTTAAAATGATACTTTCAGTGACATTAAAATATGACATAAAATTGTCAATAAATCTGAGCTTAAAACAAATAAACTTTTTTTCCTGAAGCTTGGAATCCGGCCGTTTGGAGCAGAGAACAGATCTTGTCTGAGGATGTTTTCTTACTTTTGCACCTGACTGGGAGAGGAATTTCAACTATTGCTCTGAAGCATTCCTGCTCACACAAACAAGACTCCCTGGGTGTTTTTAAAGCCTCCTCCGGCTAAAACCAGAACCCCCTTCTTCTCCTGGCAGTTTTAAATATGACTTTATGCATTTGAGACTAGAGGGAACACAATGGAAATGGTTTCTAATAAAATTAAAAACTAGTAAACTTCGGACTTTATGACATGTGGGAGTAATACCTGCAGCCTCGGGTTTTCTTGGTGCCAAAACATCTCATGGGGAGAGAAAAAGAGAGAAATTGGGAATATGCATGTTTCTATCCTTATTAAGAATCCCCCATGTGTCCACTTAGAGCCAAGGTCATGAAGCCAATAACATTTATTCATCCATTTCCTCTGAGGAGACGGGAAAGTGTCAGGAGGGAGAAGACTTGAGATGATATGTAACTTCCTTTCCTGGAAGAATAAAAAACAGCATCAAATTGTGACCATCAGTCTTATCTTATTGTGCATAGTGAAGTGAACTGGATGGAGGAGAGTGATATTATTCTTAATTTTAGGAAAATATCTAACAAAGCTATTTTTTATAATCTGAAAGAATGAATTTCACAGTAGTTCCTCCTTTGTTTTTAGCTTCTTTGCTTGTAATTTCTTTAAATTATGTGAAAAACTTTAACATCACCACATGTTGTCTTTGATCTTGTACATATTTTGTTTCATTGGGATTGGTTTAGAATAACTTCTCACTTATAGACCATTTTTTCCCTCTGTTGTTTAACTTATTGTACTTCCAACACATTTTTCCTGTTTTTGTTTTTGTTTTTTGTATCCTTGTCATTTACTGTTCTTTCTTGGTTTAAATAAAATGAAAACTGTAATTCCATGATATGTTTTCATTCTGGATCTATCTACAGGTTTTTCAGCCACAAAGATTTCTCCAAACAGAGTCCATTCAGTTTATCCTACTTTCACACAACAGTTGTGACTTTTCCGTGCAAAGATCACTGGGCTGCAAAATTTCTGCACAGATGTCATAAATATGATTACATAACTATAGCAGTCTAGTTTTAGAATAGTTACTTATTGTTTTTAAAGATAATTTTTAAAATGGTATGCATGGTACATTATTTCTAGTCTTCAGAGATTCTGAAAAAGTCATTTTTAATCACATTTTAGATCCTATTGACAGGTAGAGGTTTAGAAAATAATAAATAAATAAAAACTCATCACTCTTAGAAACTGGAAAACAAAATTGATGTCAAAAGCAGAATCCATGATTGTCCTGTCAGTTATAATACATATAGTTTCATTTTAAACCACCTTCACTCATGGGTTCAAACCCCATATGGGCCAATTGAAACATAAAGTTTTCAGAAAATCCACTGTTCAAACTATTAGAAGGCTTTGAATTAAACCTTTATGCATGATGATTTTAGAAAAACATTAGAATTTCACTGCTTTTGTCAAGATCCTGTAAGTTCTTCTTAAATCCATGAAAATGAAACATAATGTATGGCCGGTTAGCTCAGCTGGTTAGAGCATGGTGCTAATAATGCCAAGGTCATGGGTTCAAACTCCATACCAGCCAATTAAAACACAAAGTCTTTAGAAAATTAATACTTCATAATAGCAAGAGGCTTTAAATTAAACCAATATGCATGTTGATTTTGAAAAGAATATGTGCATTTTTCTCAAATCTTCATTGTGGTAACATCAAGTAAGTTTTCTTAAATCCATAAAAACTCCCTATTCTGTGTGGCTGGTTAGCTCAGCTGGTCAGAGGGTGGTGCTAATAACGCCAAGGTCATGGGTTCAATCCTCATATCAGCCAATTGAAATCAAAAGTCTTTCTGACATTTGACCCTTCAACATAAAAAAAGGGTGGAGAATAAAATCAACTCTTCAAAATATGGAAAGGCTGGAAAATATACCCTTATGCATGTTGATTTTTTAAAAACAGAATGAGGGTTGGGGTATGTCGAGGGCTGTATTGCACTGCAGAAATCTGCAAACTTTGAGATTCATATGAACAGCGCAATATATGTGAAAATAGCCACAAATTGACATGTCCATAAAGTTGTGCACCCAAACGGCATTATATTTATTAATATTGAGATTAGTGTCACAAATCTGTGCAGCTGGGCGTCTGAGATGAGGAGCAACAGGAGGAGCGATGTGAGCAAACAGGCAGCTGTCTAAAAACAGCAGCTGCTGACAACAGCTGTTGTCAGCAGCTGCTGAAAGAAACTCAAAAAGTAACTTTTAAAGTAACTTAGTTACTTTCCTTGAAGTTACTTCTTCTTCAAGGAGTAATCAGTAATCCAATTAAAGTTTCTTTTTCAAAGTAACTACGTCATTGCTGCTTCCAATTCATTTATTCATTCATCTATGTTCATCCAAATATTTATATTCACTAAATTATAGGACAAAACAAACATATATCATAAATGTGGACAGATTATCAGCTCCCTCGGTTTCTCTTTGCTTTTTGGTGCCAACATCCTGAAAAGTTTTGAATTAATGTGTTGCTGTGTTTGGAAGATCGTCCACTTTTTTCAGGTGTGAAAATGTTTGAGCCAGCACACACAGGCCTGGTTGAAATGCTCAAACATGCAGTGTTCCTGCTAAAGCACAGCACCTTCCAAAAGTAATAACACTTGAATAGTCGCACATTTTGTTGTGTTTTAAGCACTAAGATGGATATATTTTATTGAGATTTTATGTGACAAATCAAGAAAAAGTTCTGCACAGTTGTAAAATGTAATTTATATAATAGGTGTAAGTTTTTATTTTACTTGAAAAGCGTGCACTCAGTTCTGCTGAGTCAATATTTTTTAAAACCACCAAAGACCAGGGCATTTTTTTTTTTATCTCAGTAAAATTGATGGATAATGTCTGTGATATTTAAGTCTTGCTACACGTTCTTCCTAATGAGATTTAGGTCTGGACATTCAATGGGCCCTCTGTCAAATATAAACGCTTTGGTTTAAACCAGTTTATTGTCACTGGTTGTAGGTTTAGCATCACAGACCAGCTGGAGTGGGAATGTTGAGTCAGTTGCAGGTATTCCTCCAGGACTGCTTTGTGTCGAGCTTCAATGATTTTTGAACAAGTAATCTGCATTATCATTTATTAGAGAAGAAAAGCTGAGGTACTGACCAGAGCACAACTCTGACTCCTACATTTTCACAAACTGATTTCCAAAAGTAAATCTAAAATGTTGTGTAGGAATGTTGGCACAGAAATAGACGCCACAGATTCTCTATCTATAAACTCAGTTTGAAAATAAACACTTGAGGTTTCTGAGTGACGAGTCTTCGCTTTGCAAGATGTGACATCACTCACTCACAACTTGTGTAGTTTTGTCAGTAGGATTCAAATTCAAATTTTATCATCTTGAACGCTTTTCAACTCTGTCAAAGTGTTTTTTTCTGTACCTCATTCTTTATGTAAAGAGCATAGTTTTCATTCCAGGTTTGAAGCTCCATTTGGTCCCAATTTGCTGCCATGACTGATTTATATCGTCCAGGTCAAAAAGTTTGCACACAGTTTTCTGATCCATCTCAGATATAAATGCATTCTACAAACAAAAGGTCATAAAAGCAGAAAACCTGAATTCATTAGTTTCTTATCAGGCTGAAATTATCCAGACTTCTGTCATCACATATTTTTCTTTACAAATTTTATGTGTCAAATCAAAAGAAAAGAAAAGCTCTTACAAATAACCCTCATGAGAGAGGATTCTGGAACTGTTCTGTGTTTCCATGCAGATGCAGAATGAGTGTTTGGAGGCTAAAATTGGGCCTTTAAGCCTTGAACAGTCTGGATTGTCCTGGAATGAAAGAGAGGATGAAAAAAACCCGGCATCCTCTGTTTAACATGGTGGAGGGACTATGATGCTGCGGGCCAAAAACGTTTCAGTGAGAAATCAATGGGTCATTCTGTATGAGGCCAGAATGTGCAGCGACTCAGGAGGGATTCATCAGACGTAAAATCATGACGGCCTCTGCTTTCAGAAACACTCAGGACAATAAAAAGAAAGAGTAAAAAAGAAACTGTCAAATATTTATTTGCTCCACTTCTGTAAAATCTAAGTGGTTTCCTACTAAAATGAAAAACTGTGACAGTTTGTGGAAACAATCATAGATTTGTAAAGAAAAAGCTGAACATTTGTGAGTCGTTTACAGGTAGTTTGTAAAATAATCCTTTTGATAGATTACCAGGCCTTCACTTTGTTTCCATGGAGTCTTGCATTCATCTCTGTGGTTCCTTTCAGCTGCTCTCATGGTCCAGTTGACCCTTTGAAGGGATAACACTCAGACTGAACTCTTGTGTGATTCTCCTCTCACAACCAGCAGGCCTTAAAGCGTTTGGAGCCCAGCTCTTGTGGTGGCAGACTCTGCAGGGCACTCGGTGTCCCTGTCCTGGTGACTCACAGCTGCAATGGCAGGATCAACTCAACAACATTTGACACTTTAATGTTGTGGCTGATGAATTTACTATTTTGTGCTGCAGTAAAAATGAATTTCTCAACCAAATGAAATTTCCTTTCACTCTAAAGCAGACTTCAACCAGGCAGCAGTTTAACGTCATTCATGACAATTTAATCCTGACTGGGTTGTATTTCTTGTTCCTGAAGAACTTTCAAGTCTTACCTAAAAGAGCTTTTCTACTTCTGATCATAAATTTGACAAGTCTTTTGCAAGTTATTATTTGGACAGAAAACGCCTGAGAATCCATTCAGTGCACATCATCATTGTCTCATGCTGCATGACTAAATCTATCAGAGCTTATAGTGCAACTGTGTCAGAATTATTTCCCAATAATTCTGAGTTTTCACAGATGTAGTTCCCATCTGACCCCGCTTCGAACTGAATTTGTTTATGCTCAGCGATCCGCCTGAAAAAGAAACAAAACTGGCAAGTCTATAAAAATGATGCGCTTGGACACCATCCTGACAACTTGTCTTTTAGGTTTATTTAACAAATCTTGCACTACTGAAAATGCACAAACATTGGATGAGATTTTTAAAACAAATCTGGAAAAATATTCATTTGGTTTTGGAGATTGTATTTGTTCATTAGACAGTGAGGATATACATTTATCTTCAAGGATCTGTGGAGGTTTTCCATTTACCTTAAAGTAAATAAATATCCAGAGTGACCCGCTTCAGGTCAGCAGACTGACCCGACTAAATTGTCTGCTGGAATTCAAACATATGCAACGCATCTCTGCTCTCTCAAATCTGTTTAAACAAAAGGAGGAAGAATGTGAAAAGCAAACAGATGGCTCATGTTGTGGCACTCTGAGCAAAGACTGGCTCAGGATGTCATGAGTTAACGTGGAAATTAGTTTCTCTCAATTCTGTTAACAATCACTTTGGTTGTTAACCTATTTTATTTATGCCAGGTTTGAGAAATAATCAAAAAATGTAATTATTTCTTTATGTTTATATTGTTTGGCCAAAATGACTTTTCTTTTGTCTTTCACTCCAGAGTGACTTTACCAAAAGACAAATTCAATCCAGAATGTTAGAGGAATTACAAGACCTGTAAGAAATATGTTCTAATTCTGTTTTCATGTTGTTTTCCTTTCTTTTTGTTGCTTTGACAATTTTCTTAAATCTGACAAACTAAGAAGTCTTTGAATATGAAAGCCCATCATAGCCTCACATCATTTTCAATAATTTAGTGGGACGACCAGAGTTACAAAAACACAACAGGAAGTGACAGATTTTCAACTTAGTGAAACTTTTTTTATTTTTTCTGAGCAACTCTTCAGTGGAGTCAGTTCAAGTTTTCACCTCTGTTCTGAAAGTTGGTTCATAGAGTCTCATCGATCTTCCTGCATAGACGACCTCCTGTCCTGTCTCACAGCTGTTGGTTGTAATGATCACACCTGAACCAGTTCAGTCATTATCTGTGTGTATAAATAGTCCAGTTGGCTGCTCTTCTGATGCTGTTTTTATTCCCGTCTTGCTGACCTGTTGTGGTTTTGAACATGTTTTATGGTTCCTTTCCCATCATTTTCAGTCGTTTCTTCTGCCAGTGCAGCACTTTTGTTTACTGTTTTCCAGCAGAATTCCTGCTTTACAAACAAACAGCCAAAGCCTAAAACATGGATAAAAGGCTCAATAAATTTTTAAAAATTAGGTCCGTCTGGTGCGCTCAGGACTGGATCCAAGAGGATTCGGCTGAACGGGCCGGGGCCAGCTTTGGGCTGCCTACCCACACAAGGTTTTATGGGTGGAAATTACCAGGGATTTATAGATACCAGATGAAAATAGTTGGGTTTTTCTTGCTTTTTCTGAAGTTTCTCAATGAACACAATGATTTTTTAAAGAATATTACCCTGTATGAAGACATAAATGCAGAATCACAGTAACTATGTGAGTCTCTCTGTAATCCACCAGAATTAATATAAAAGGTGCAAAGCTGATGTCTAACATACATGGGGTCAAAGGTTAACTATTTTTAAATGGTTGCCTGTTAAAGATTTAGGAAAATAACATTTTCAGCCAACATTTAAAAGTTTACACCAGGTGCTTACAGCACATGTATTGAAGTCCAGTCTGTGATGGATTTCAGTGAAAAGAACCGGACCCTGGAGGTCCAGATGAAAATGTTTGCTGACGATCATCCAAATTTCTCAGGACGCTTCATCTTGTATTGAATTTAGGTGAAACCAAACAAAAAGATTATTGAGACGTGAAATCAGGATGGCAAGGCTCCAACACATTTGAATCATTTCGTTTCATTAACTGCATCATTAAAGCTTGATGGTATCTTTCCTGAACAAAGTAATTTTGTACAGCTTGCTGGGAATGTTCAG